ATTTTAGTTGTCGACATTTAATTGAATACAACACACAACACACTCTTCTTGCAGCAGTCAGCACGTGCTGTTTTAGCTGAAAACGGATAAAATATAAGAAGAATCGGGGCGAAACAAAAAAAAAAGAACAACAACGATGAATAAATAAATAAAAAATCAAAATAATTAAAAAAAAAGAATGAAGAAAAGATCGTAAAATTAATAAATTTCCGTTTCACAATTGCTCAGATTTAAACAAAATTTCAAACCATGAACACAACGCATTCCAGTTAACGGTTGTGCTATAAAATTTATTAAAAAATAAATCGGGAATAGATAACGAATTGAAAAATAATAAAATTAATTTTTTTTTTTAATTAAAAATTATTTAAAGTGAATAAAAGAAAATATAAAGCTGATGGCTTAATGTGAGTTAATTGAAAAAAAAAGTGATTTATTTTAAAAGCAAAAATTTAATTAAATTAAAAATTAATTAAAAAAAAAATTTTAATAAAAATAATAATGAAATGAATAGGAAAAAATTATTTCAAATTAAAACAATTTACAAACAAAAGTGGAAACAATATTTTATAAAAACAAATAATTTGTTTAAAAATAAAATAAATATTTGTGAAAAAAAAAAACATTAAATTTATTAAAAAAATAATAAAAAGTTCCGTCAGTTTTTTTAATATAAATAAAATTTAAAATATAAAAATAAATTTAAATATAAAATAATCATCAAAAAAACTGTTTAATTCGAACGGTTTTAATTTAAAATTACAGTTTTTTATATAAAAATTAAAAAAATCCTCGATTTATAAATATATTTAAATAATTTTCCATTTTATTAATATATTCTTTTAAATTTCGTCTTGTTAATTGAAGCTTTTGAACTGTTTACAAAACTATAAAAAAATGTTTAAAATTTATAATAAAATTCATTAAATAAGTGACAATTTAAAAGTTTTGTAAACAATTACCTTGTCAGTAATAAATGAAGTGCTTCCTAAAGAATTGCATTATCATCGCTTCAAAGTGCATTACTAAGTGTATTTAAGTGTTTAAAAACTTTCAAATAAGTTAATTTATACTTCCAATACGTTCAAATCTTTTCCATAAAAGAACATCAAACTTACTTGCAGAGCATTACTTTAGAATCAGTGCATAAGAATCGAAAAAAGGACTTCAACATTACTTCTAGGGAATGGCTTTAGAAGCAGTGAATTGTAATAGTAAATAAGGAAATGTCTAATTCTTTTAAAAGACTTCCAAAGAGGAATTCTTAATACATACTTCCAAATCTTTTCCAAAAAAAGAAAACATCAAAATTACTTCTAAGGCATGACTTTAGAAGCAGTGAATAGGAATCGAAAAAATGACATTAAAATTACTTCTAGAAGCAGTGAATTGGAATAGTAAAAAATAAAATTCTAATTCGTTATTGCTAGATCAATTTATGTTCTTGTTGTTGTAACAGTTCGACTGTGACCGATAGTTCTTTCTTTGAGGAAACAACTTTCGGTTGATACAGCTGTCGCTGTGTTGACAATCTTTGGCCGAGTATGACTCGGGTCGTTTCGGAGCGAAGATCCAATTGTCGTGGGAACGTGACATCGCGAGATCAACATATTGTTAAGATCGCTTGTCCCAAAAGTGTCAATTTCAAGATCAACTTTGTACCTTATTAATGTTTCTGGTCCTATGAGGGTCCTATCAGCTATAGTTTTAAATCATTTTCACTGGTGTAAATAGCTTTAAATCTGGTTAATTTATCATTGAGGCTTTAACTGGGTGTCTAGGTTAGGATATTTCAGCAGGTTGTGCCTGTACTGGGGACACACAGGGGTTCAGCATATTAATCCCTTTAGATCCCATCCTCACTAGTTTGTCACTCGTTTAAAAGAGTTTCTCATTTCGGATGTTCACATCGGATAAATTCATTAAAACGTACAGAAAGTTGCTATCTAGCCCACTAGAGCCGAGCAGTGACAGAGAAAGAGAGTAACATCCTCTTCGTCATCTTTGTCTTGACAGCTTTTGGCAAAGTCGTTTTTGGGTAGATCTTCTGACATAAAGCCTAAAAGGCCGGTGACCTGCAACCACTTTAATTATGTTTCGCAACTGAGATTGAAAGATCTTTAACAAGACTACTCTGATCTTTGCCATTCTGCAGTTAGCTGCATTTGAACTTTTGGGCTGAAGCGACAGAGGCTGTAATTATAAATATTCCGTTTTTGAGATTTTGGATAATTTAACAAGGCAAGATATCGTGAAAGACCGCATATCAGCCACATGATCTTTGTCATTCTAGGCTTAGACACATTTCAAAACCTGGTTTATGCATGCTCTAAATTTTAATTTTAAGATTTCATTATCAATCGAGCTGTGAAGAGAAAGAGAGTTACATCCTCTTCGTCTTGGCAGCTTCTGCAAAAGTCGTTTCTTGGAAGCTTGAATCTTCTGGCATAATGCCTAAAAGGCTAGTGCCGAGTAACCACTTTAATTATGTTCCGCAGCTGAGATCAGGAGAAATTTAACGATGCTAGTGATCATAGCAGATTGTATATCGGCTACTGATCTTTGCTATTCTACATTCTCATTCGACAATAGGTTTGTGCAAGGTCGTAGGGTCTGTCCCACTAATTTCTAAAAGATTTTATAATCAATCTCTTTAACTCGTGCGGAAAGTTGCTTAGAGCCGAGCAGTGACAGAGATAGTGACAACCCCTTCTCAAAACTCGTATCTTGGATGTTTGAATCTTCTAGCATAAAACCTAAAAGGGGCTAGTGGTGAGTAATCACTGTAATTATGTTCCGCAGCTGAGATCAGAAGAAATTTAACAAGGCTAGTGATCATAGCCCATTGTATATCTGCTACTGATCTTTGTCATTTTACAGTTAGCTTAATTTTTTTCCTAGGTCTGTGCATGATCGTAGAGTCTGTCTCACTAATCTCTAAAAGATTTCATATTCAATCTTTTTAACTCTTGCAGAAAGTAGCTTGGAGCCGAGCAGTGACAGAGATAGTGATATCTTCTTTGTCTTTACAACTTCTACAAAAGTCGTTTCCTGGAAGATTGAATCTCTGGTATAAAGCCTAAAAGACCAGTTACCACTGTAATTAAGTTCCGTAGTTGAGATCATATCAGATTGTATATCTACAGTTAGCTTTATTCGACCACTAGGTTTGTACATGCTCCTTTTAGGTCTTATAACTCGTTTATTATCTTCGAAGAACTTGTTCTATGACAATTTCCTTCTCTCTAGATTAAATTATGAATGAATGCAAGAGATAGAGAAAATGAAATAAAGAGAGCGAGGAAGAGCGAAAAACAAAATAAATCTGTCAATTAGAGGAAATATTGTAGTTTCTTAATATGTTTTAAATATTAGAACAAATTCTTCGAATATTTCTTCAATCAGTCTTCAGAAGCCAAATTACGACATACAACTTTAATAGAATTTGAGTGGAGATTTCGATCGTTTACGAAAACAGTTTCTTGCAAATGATTCCGATATAACTACTATCAGTAAAGAACTAATACTATCATAATTCCCTTCTGTCTAGTTTTAATTATTTTAAATGAAAAAGAGAGAGAGAGAGAGGGAGGAAGAGCAAGAAGAACAAATCGGGCTATTGGAGTAAATATTGCAGATTCTAAAGATTGTTTACCTCATTAAATGAAATTCCTCGAATGTTTCAATCAATCTTCAGGAGCCAAATTACCACATAAGATATTGATCTAAATCTCTATAGATTGGAATTAATCGTTCGTTTTCGAAAACAGTTTCTTGTAAATTATCCCCTGATATAATGACTAATAAGGCCTTGAGAAACACTCCAGTAGATCATTAAGTCTAGACTTAAAAAGCTCACCAAGTTAGGATATTATGTGATAATCACAGATAATCGCTTGATTTTAAACCCAGAGGTCACTGCATACTTTTCTAAAGATTTGAGCTGAACTGAATTCAATTCTGACATTAGAATTTCTAGATCTAAAACTCCTTTCCTTATATTCGAGACATTATAACGTCTTACGGACCTATCTATGGACTTCAATTTAAAAGTATTACCTCTAAAACAGCATTACATCTTCTATTTGTTGAAATTTTCGACACAAACTTCACTTTTGTGAAATTTATATTTGATTCAAAGTTTAGATTAAGATATCTCAAGGAAAAAGCAAGATATACCAGAGGTTAAACCTTCATATTAAAGATAAAAGCAAGGACTTTCAGATGCCATAACAAATTTTCTAAATAAAATTTTCTCTTGCTGTCCATAGTGTCTCGAATATGATGCTAAATTAAGGATTATTCCAACTTTAGACTAAGATAACTCGAAAACCTGATGTGTTAGGAAAATCTGAGAGTGAATTCGGTTTTTAACAGATTTTTAAATTCAAAATAAAAAGCTTTTTTTCTTTTCTGCAAAGTAATACTCAGACAATGGTTATATTTAGTTAAAAAAGTGCATAAAATTTTCTTTATAAACAAAATTTTTTAAATAAATATTTAAAAAACATTGACCTATATTACCGAAAAAAAAATACTAGATAAGCTTTTAACCAAAAAATAAAACAACAAAACTATATATAAACCCTAAAGTTTAGATAAAAATAAATTAAGTACCACTTACCTTCTTCAAACTTTTGCTTCCTAAGATAAGACAACTGTAGAAAAAAATAACTTCAAAACACTAATTTGTAACAACTAATTATAATGATACCCCAAAAAAAATGTTTGTTAAGGCGTTTATCATTCTTTTAAAATCTAATTAAAAGACGCCTTTTAATAAGAGCGTAACGGAAATTTGGAAAAAAATAAAACTTTTAGTGACATTTTTACTTTTACTTTTTGGGATTTTCTAATTTACCCACAAAACTGTCTTATAATATATTACAACTGCAATTAAGTATTCATAATTTTAAATAATTATTAGTAAATTAACTCGTTTGATAACAAGTTTTTCTTTTAAACTCATGTTTTCTTTTTCCCAACTTGTCTCTTTACAGATGAAGTAACTTTGGAATTTATTAAAATTTAATCATCGTATTTAGCCAGCCGCTGTAGCTGTAGAGTAGAAGCTGCATTAACAAAAATTACGAATTCAAAATTAAATTTGCTTCTAGAGAGAGAAAAAAATTTGCATTTTTTGCTTTTTTTTTATAGACAAAAATCATTTACGAACGAAAACAATTAGTTAGTTTTTTTAAGCACAAGTCATTTTAATACATAAAAACATTATACAATTAAAAAAGTCTTAAGTTTTATAAAAAACATCTGCAAGATGTTGCCAAAATTTTTAACACATTTGGATAAGCAGAAAGCGCACAAGGTGACGACGTTGTCAACGGCGAGAAGGCGTTATTGGTGTTGCACATTTCCTTTAGTGCTATTGGCTTTACTATTGGTTCTACACTCTGACAGCAGTAATGCCGAAAGAGATTTTAATTTCAATGATTCACAGGTGAGTGAAATTTTTTTTCAAGTTTTTATTAATGTTTCTTTTTGGGTGAACAATTCATTTTTGGGGGGACATTTTGATGAAGATATGGTATTGTTTAGTTAGTTAAAGGACTAGTCTATTAAGTAGTCCATTGTGTAGGCTTTTGATTAATTTGTCTATTAATTTGTATAGGGACTAGTTATGGACAAGATTAGTCTATGAACAATACACTATTGAACTAGTCTATGAACTAATCTATGGATAGTCTATGGACTAGTCTATAAACTGGTCTATGAACTAGTCTATAAACTGGTCTATGAACTAGTCTATGAACTAGTCTATGAACTAGTCTATGAACTAGTCTATGAACTAGTCTATGAACTAGTCTATGAACTAGTCTATGAACTAGTCTATGAACTAGTCTATGGACTAGTCTATGAACTAGGCTATGAACGACTATGGACTGGTATATAAACTAGTCTATGAACTACTTAGTCTATGAACTAGTCTACGAACTAGTCTATGGACTGGTCTGTGAATTAGTCTATGAACTAGACTATGGACTAGTCTATGAACTAGACTAATGACTGGTCTATAAACTAGTTTATGAACTTTTCTATGGACTAGTCTATGAACTAGTCTATGAATTATACTATGGACTAGTCTATAAACTAGTTTATAAGCTAGTCTATGGACTAGTCTATGAACTAGTCTATGAACTAGTCAATGAACTAGTCTATGAACTAGTCTATGAACTAATCTATGAACTAGTCTATGAACTAGTCTATGAACTAGTCTATAAACTAGTCTATGAACTAGTCCATGGACTAGTTTATGGACTGGTCTATGGACTAGTCCATTGTGTAGGCCTTTGATTATTCTAGTCTATGAACTTTGATGGACTAGTCTATAAATTATTCTATGAACTAGTCTATGAACTAGTCTATGAACTAGTCTATGAACTAGTCTATGAACTAGTCTATGAACTAGTCTATGAACTAGTCTATGAACTAGTCTATGAACTAGTCTATGAACTAGTCTATGAACTAGTCTATTAACTGGTCTATGAACTAGTCTATGGACTAGTCAATGGACTAGTCTATGGACTAGTCAATGGAGTAGTCTATGGACTAGTCTATGGACTGGTCTATGGACTAGTCTATTGTATAGGCCTTTGATTATTCTAGTCTACGAACTAGTACATTGACTTGCCTATGGACTAGTCTATTGACTAGTTTATGGACAAGTCTATTGATTAGTCTATGAAGTACCCTATTGTCTAGTCTATGGAATAGTCTAGTGACTAGTGTATGGACAATAGACTATTGATTAGTCTATGAACTAGTCTGTGAACTAGTCTATGGACTAGTCTATTCACTAGCCTAAGGACTAGTTTATTGACTAGTCTATAGACTATTATATATACGGGTCTATGAACTTGTTTATTGTCTAGTCTAGGGACTAGTCTGTTGACTAGTTTATAGATTGGTCTGCTGATTAGTCCAAGGACGACCCTAATGACTGGTGTATGGATTATATTTTTGACTATGACATGGTGTAGTATATAGAATAGTCTATTTATTAGGCTCTTGATCTTTAAGACCCTGAAATCTCATTTAACAACTAATATTCATTTACCGAGCTGTTATTCTGGAATAGCTTCTGGCGAGATATGAGAAAGAAAAGTAATTGATATGTCTTGAGTTAAGCAGTCAGTCCTAACAGATGTCTAGAAAATATCCAGTCTTAAGCAAAAATTCTTTAAATCTGACAGATTTTTTCTCCCAATTTTAAAATCTTTTTAGTAGCCTTGCGGCTTGATTTCTACTCCATGTTTCCCAGAATATTTAACTATTTCTTTTAATTTGTTTAACACTTGCTTAAGAATAAACCTTAGATTACTTTGGTTTCAACAAGATGAAACCAAACCGCCAATGATCTTTAATCTCTCATTTTTGTTTATTTTTTTTTAACAATTTTCTCTTTTGTTTAAAACGTTTTAGTTTTGCTGTTTTGTTCTTTTAGATTCTTCCTAAGCTTATCTTTTCTTTCTAAAGTCATAAAGTATTGTTTTATCTTTTATTACAGCATACCGCAAAAGATACAGAAAGTTGATTTTCTTTTCATTTTTGGTTTTAGTTTTAGGAATAGAAAGAATACTTGTTGAGTTACTAAATATTTTCTGAAGAATTTTTTTTTTTGAGTTTTAGTCATGCAATATTAGTTGTGTTTTGTTGCTATCAATGAGTGTTAACGCTTAAAGTTAGCAACAAAACGAACATTACCTGACTTGGCATCACTCCACAGAAGAAATCTGCTAAATCTTAAAATTATTTACATTTTCTTAAAAAAGGTTTTTTTATTTGATATTTTTTTTGATTTAAATTTTATTTTAAAATATTTTTTTATTGTTTGACATAAACACATTAATATTTGTATTTTTATTTTTGAATTGGTAGCACTTTTATCGACGTTAAAATTAACTTGTATAATTTTACACGTTAACTCCTAACGTTTATAAATTTTAAATTTATATGAAATTGCCTTTGAACGTTAGCAACAAAACACAACTATTATTATTTGTTTGTGATCGTGTTGATTGTTTTTAACCCTTAAATGGTAGAAAGGGAAGATTAAGGGCAGTTGTTTGGGAGATTATCGAAGTTAATTAGTTTCTAGCTGGAAGACATATAAAGGAATAAGTGATGTAGTATACTTATTCAGAATGAGGATCGTGAGAAATTCGAGAATTTCTTTACTACAAATTGTTTTAGAATAAAGAAAAACTTTTAAAATCAGTTTAAACTATTCAATGAGGTCCAAAGGAAAAAGTTTCTTCTTAAAATTATACTGGAATTGTAATTCCTGAAATATTCGCGAATTTTATATTAAACAAATTTTTGAGAATAAAGAAAATCTTCCTTCCATAGCAAAGGATATTCCTTTAAATTACTTTTTTATGCTGAAATTGAAATTTCGAATAAAAGATTATTTGTGAATTAAGTTTTATATTTTGAAGGAAAAAATTCATGTAATATTCGCGAATTATTCAACATATTGTTAAATTAAGGAGAACATAATGACACATTTTTAAAAATTGTTAAGATTCAGTATAAATTTCAAAATATATTGCAGTTCCAGAAATATTCGCGAATTTTTTTTATTACAAATTGTTTGAGATTAAAGAAAATCTTTCTGACATCATTTCAAACTATTCAAACTATTAGTAGAAGGGCCCAAGAAAAATGATTTATTCCCCTAAACAACGTTTTTTGGGAAGGAATTTGAATTCCTGAAATATTCGCGATTTTTTTTTTATTAAAAGAATTGTTGATAATAAGGAAAATCTTTCTGACACAATTTATTCAAAGCAACATGAAAACACTGTAGAGATAAGTAAATTTTATTTTCTTTTTATCTCACAGTCCTTCGAGGGTTAATTATCATTAATGTTTTTTTGATGAGGTTGATTACATTTGTATGCAGGCAGGCAGGCTTCTGATGCTCTACATATTTCGTTTGCTGATGATTATGCTGCTCGTATGCCTCTTCCAAAAGCCATTTAATTTGTAGTAAAAATCATCAAATATATTTCTTATTCTTTTATTTTTCTCATTTATTTTTCATAGAGTATGCAGCTAACTATGACATGATGATGTAAATGATTTGAGTTAGAAAAACGAATAAGAACAACAAACAGCACGCATCATCAATCATCTATATGTATATGCATGCAACATGATAGAAGAATCATATTTGAAAAATATTTTTCCTCTAAAAAGGGTCGCCACGCTCGATCTTTAGCAAAGTCTGCTAAACATGTATGAAGAAAATGATGATTATGATGTTGTTGTAAGTAGTTGCTTTGTAATAATAGTCGTTGTTGTTGCTTTTTTATAACTATTTTACCGCAATTTACAACAAATCTACCCCAAAAAAAAAATGCACCTTGTGTTGACTTTTCTCGAAATACATAAAAGAAATGAAAACACAAAATACAATATCCAACTAAGAAAAAGAGAAATCAAGACAAATAAGTCAGATACAGGCGTAAACGTGCATCTTAGTTGCATCCACATAAAGTATGTTTGTATAACTGCATACATAGAGGTTTATACATGTTTTCTCAGTCCCTTTTCTCAGTCAGTTTGTGTAACAATACGTTTATACGGTTTTTACTTCTTCTTAGGGAACAAATATGTTTAGGTTGTTGTTTTTATATAAACAATACTTTGCTTTGTTGTTGTAGTTTTGGTTATATATATTATTCTATATAGTAAATATGTTTGTGTATATTTTACTAACAAGTTTGTATTGTCAATGTTTTTATTTTTCAAAAAAATCCCCTTAGAGTTTGTTATCTTTAAATATATATTTCCGTCATGCTTTACTTTTTTCACTGAACTAATTAAAATCTGAAGATTCAATCTAATCCATAGTTGAATTAAGACGGTAGCCGCTAGTTATTGTATACTTTTTTTCGGATATTTAATACTTTTTTATATAAATATAGTTTAATTAGAAATCCGTTTAATGAGTTTCTTGATATCCTCAAGAAAGGAAAGGTCTTGAAAACACCTCTCATTTGATGTACATATTGTCTATAAACATAATACATACAGTCCCTTTTTTTTACCTATTTATAGAAGGGAATTCTTATAGAAATACTTCCCAGAAGAATAATATCTCCAATTAATGAATTCTACAAAACGACTTTCTCAGTAAAGGAAAGGCCTTTAAGATACCTTTCATTTGATATACATATTTCCTATATACTTATTACAGACTTTAGAGTTGGGTATATAATAAATTATGGATCCATATGTCTAGGTTATCATGACTAATCGATTGTATATCTTCCTTTTATGTTTCGATTTTGTTGATTTTTGATAGGAAACATCTCAAACATGTGTCTTATAGATTTATACATAATTTCGATCCATACGTTATCTGGAATCCTCGAAATATTGATTGATTGATGATATATGGTTAGACATGGCTATTAATACTTAAGAATTGGT